GGTGTGCGCGCAGAGAGGAGGGAGAGCTGGGCGGGCGGATGACGGGCCGTAGGTGGCCCCCTCAACCACCCGGAGTTTGCGGGCCGGCGCGATGGTGGGCGCTATGCCATTGTGACAGGCCTGCTGGACGGACGCAGTGTGTAAGGCCTCACTGGAGGAGCCTGGCTCGTTACTTTGGAAGGGTATAGTTTTGCACCATGGCGTCCCCTTCATTAAGCCCATGTGCAAACACAGACTGGCACATCCACCTCCCTCAATGAGGCTGGTGGGTTGGTGGAATCTACGACCCTGGGGTTGGCAGCCAGTGGCTTTAACCACAGTGCCACTAGGGTTCCTTAAGCACCTACCTAAAAAGACCTAATTCTGTCCCCGTTTCAACCCTCTTAGGGAATCAAAAAGGAAAATAGGCCGGCAGTTTGGGAAAATTCCACAGACTTTGTACAAAACCGACGCAATCTCAAAATTAGAACGGGGGTTGGAGTGTCAAATGATATTTCCGCCATCTGCTGACTTCAAAGCCAAGGACATTTTCAATTGCAAGTTTGTTTCCATAGATAAAAAACACAGATGCCTCTTATCTCTGATAAGGTGGACATCTGGTATTGAGCGTCATGCTGACTTAGAACTAGTTTGTGTTTTGCAAGTCAGCAGACGGAAATGAACGGTCCGTGAAAGAGTTTTTTAATCTTTAAAATTCCAAGTTACGTTGCGTTGCTCGTTGTAAGTGCTCCTTTAAGATGGGGAATCAGCCGTTTGTTTGGGAAAACTGCTTAGAAACCTTAATCTTTTGTTAGGGATGAGGGAAGCCTAAGGATACCAGCTTGGGGAGACAGTTGAAAGAGTAAAGTACTTACAGTTGAGTGATCCCAAAATTCATTAATATAGTATTGAGATCTACTAGCATGCTGAGAGATGAGTCATGTCACCAACAGCCACTAAAGATGTTAACCGAGAGTGGAGGAACCCACCTATTGCCATAGAGTCAATGCCAACTTGCAGGCACTTTATAATGGAGCCCTGGGGCACAGTGGTTCACATGTTGGCCTGTGATCTGCAAGGTCACCAGTTCAAAACTACTAGGCACTCCACAGGGGCTTTCTATTCCCGTAGAGTTACGATTTTGAATATCACAAGAGCGATTCTACCTGGTCCTGTAGGATCACTATGAGTCTGCTCTACTCGAAGGCAGCGAGTGAGGCACTTTAAACAGGGTTTTTGAGGCTTTGTGAATCTTAATGGAGCAGACCGCCTCATCTCTTTCCCCAGAAGCGGGTGCCTCCAGGGCTCCAGATGGGAGGAAAGATTGGCTACATTGAGTGGGTTCAAAGGTGAATGATTGTCAGTGACTTGGAATTTCGCTTAAACGATGTGAGAAGGGGCATTAGGTTTAAAGTATGCTTCCTTTTCTTGAAGATGTTGCAAGGGCAGTGAATGCTTTACTGTGGCTCTTCTAGCCGGTGTGTCTAACCATCATCAATTGACTGTTTCCTGCTTGGGTCTGGTAAGAAAATGGGGAAGATACTGATAGGATTCACCTATGAGTAATTGGGAATGGGATCTGGAATGCTACCCTGCTGCTTATAAAATGAGTCCTCTGAGAAGCAGGCTGAGAGATTTCATTACCAGCAGGAGTCAAGAGTGGTGTGTCCTCTGGCCCTGAGATCCCTGAGCAGTGGCCCTCCTGGCTCCAGAAGACAGCTACACCGGAGGAGCAGCAAAACCAGGAGCCAGGGCACCAGCAAGTAAAGCTGAGCACTTTTGAGTAGGAGGCTGACGAGTGGGGTGCACTTAATTGGGGAGCTGGACATGTTGACCCACAGAGCTTGAGTTAATGTCTTCTGGTTGAGGCTTACCACCCGAAGAGTGGTATGCCTGTTGGGCATCTTTTAGAAACCCTGAAAGAACTTTGCGACATGTCTTGAAGAACAACTCTATCCTCAGCATTTCTCACTGGCATTCCAACCTGTTGACTTCCGTAACAAAGCCTGTGACTCATGAATTTTGTCTGTGAGTTCTGTGTAGCCATCGCAATGGACATTAGAACCTAGAGATCAAATAGAGACTGTTAATGTAGACAACATAGATGTACGGACTGGTAATTCTTAAGATCGTAATCCTACATCTCCAGCACTAGCTCCTAGATATCATGAGATTTATTCATCCAGCACATATTTATGAAGCCCCACTCCGGAGTCCTGGAGGTGCAGAGATTAAAGCATTCTGTTGCGAATTAAAAGGCTAATGGTTTGAACCCACCAACCATTCCACGGGTAAAAAACATGACACTATCTTCAAGTTAAGATTGACAGTCTTGGAAACCCTATGGGGCAACTAATTCTACTCTGTTCCATTGCACCACTATAAATTGGAATTCACTTGATGGCAGTGGGTTTGGTTTGGGTTTATGTAGAAGGCAGAGGCCCTGGGTGGTATAAACAGGTAAGCACTATTATATTAACCAAAAGATTGGTGGTTCAAACTCACCCAGAGATGCTTCTGAAGACAGGCTTAGAAATTTCACCCAAAAGGTCCCAGTCTTGAAAACCCTATGCACCAATGAAACATACAACATCCGTCTAGTTCTTTAATGCTTCCTACCCCACCCCTACTATTTCTACCTTACAAATCCAGCTAGACCAGAGCATGTACACTGGTACAGATAAGAGCTCTCGACACAGAATCCAGGACAGATAAACCCCTTAGGAACAATAATGGGAGTAGCAATACCATGAGGGTAGGGAGAAGGTTGGGGGAGAAATGGGGAACCAATCAAAATGATCAATGTATAACCTCCCCGCCACTCCCAGGGTGACAACCAACAGAAACATGGGTGAAGGGTGACAGTGGACAATGTAAGGTATTAATAATTTATAATTTTTCAAGGGTTCATGAGGGTGGGAGGGAGGGGAAAAAAGCTGATATCAAGGCCTCAAGTAGAAAGAAAATGTTTTGAAAAGGATGATGGCAACATTACAAATATGCTTGATACAATGGATGTATAACAATGGATTGTTATAAGAGCTGTGAGAGCCCCCAATAAAATTATTTATGAAAAAAGCAACAACCCTATGGAGGGAGCACAGCTAGACTGCACGCTTAGAGTCACCAGGAGCAGGGATGCACTCAAGGGCCGCTATCCACCACCTCAAATGTAGTAAGTGCTGAGGCACAAGTGTGAAGACACCCAGTCTTTAATCATAAATTGCTCAGAATCTCCCAGGGGACAGACGTGCAAATCACCAAATCTCATACGGTACTATTTTTTGCGATAAAAGAGGTCCAAGCATGCTCAAAGTACTGTGGGAACCTAGGACTAAGGGCAGCTAGAGGTTGCCTCCCTTAGAGTGACATCAGATGGGTTTATAAAAGAGCAGATTCCTGGGTAGGTGAGTAGGCCCTGGGTCAGTGGACAAACCCACCTCACTTAATGCAAGGACTAGGCTTACAATTTCAGAGTTGTGTGGTAATTTCTCTTGACAACACTTAACAATTTATTTACGGGGGCATGTTTTTTACATTCTCTTAATTTCTAGTTTGTTACACTTTCAGCCTATCTGTAAAGAACAAGATAAAATAGATAAACCAGACCCATTGCTGTGGAGGCACATTCTGACTCTTAGCAACACTGACCCTTTGCAAGGTTGTAGTCCCTTATGGTGTTGGGATTTACTTGCTGGGCTGCTAACCACAAGGTCAGCAGTTCAAGAACACTAGTTTTTGCAGCAAAATGCATGTTCATACTCTTTTGAAGGCCCTTTGTAAAGTTGCATTTTGATGTCAACCTAGCCTTGATCACAATAACCTTGCTCTTTAGGGATAAACTGTTTCTAACCGGCACTTTTTTTCTTCCTGTTAGCTCACAGATGATGACCTCCAAACGAACACTTTTATAACCAGGGTTCATTTTAGAAGGCAAAAAAAGATGGTAATAGCAATCATATGTAATGCATGGCCTGCTTGCCTATTTCGGGAAAAGAAGCTGTCTTTTAAAAGGCAATATGGACAAACAAGTGGAAATAAGTTTCCCCATTTGAAATGAAAATATGCACAGCAGCTCTTTCCCTCTAGAGTTTAAAAGCTGGAAAAAAAATAGATTAAGTATTCATAGAAGCCTCTTGAAGTCTTAGAAAAAAATATTTTATAAATCAAATGTATCACAGGTAATTTCAAAAATAAATACTCAAGGTGATACTCTCATTTTGGAATTTCTTAAGCTGGAAAAACAGTTCAATTATATACTTAGTGCTAGGCACTGAGCAAAGTGCTGAGAAACAGGAGGTAAATTTTTTTTTTAAATGTAACGCAAGTTCAAAGCCCAAACAAAATGAAACGTAACTAATCAACAGGGAAAATATGAGGACTAGCCACGCAAAATTCCCAAATATGTCAAAATGTCAAAGAAATCATTGACAATTGAAAAATGGACAAAAATGTTAGCAGGTAGTTTATAGTAAATAAGGGTGAACATCATGAGATGTTTATAATGGTAAATTATTCATAATGATAAATTTAAAAATACAACTAACAGATTGACAAAAATAAATTTTTTTCTAGCACCTCATCATTGTGCCTGGGAAGAAATGAGCAATCTCAAAAAAAAAACAAAACCAGAAAAATGATCAGTCCCGTACATGGCAAGTAGGAATATTGATTGAATTTCTATGAAGAAAGACATGTATATGTGTATGTATATGTAAGAAAGAGACTAAAATCCAATACATGTCTGAGAATTCATTGTAGAAGTGGTTCTAGTAGCAAAA